GAATAACATCAATTCGCATTCCATCGAGATTTACAATGTTTATAGACATTAGGGAGCTGAGACTGCGCAGTACGGACTGGAAATTATCTTTAAACTCCGAACACCTCAATAATTTAGTTCCTTTAAAACGGTCACCTTCTTAAGTACAGTTACCTGGTCTTAAACTGGTGTAGGGCAACGCAAATTGCCCAATAAAATCGTCTACAATTCCAACATCCTCGTCAAAGACCGCAAATCTTATCATAACCAGCTCTGGCATAAGTAGAACCTTAACAAACTTTTCGTCCCACACTGGGTTAAAACCTGGAAAATAAATGAAACGCGAAGAAATTAGTCGGTGCATGAGTCATCTTTTTCGTGTTCAATATATTCTCTCGACCTTCCTGTATATCCATGTATTCTCACTACCCCACGCGCTTACACGCTAATAAAAACGCTTATATTTTCTTTTCTCAGAATTAGTAGCGACGAAATCAATCACATAGTTTTACTCTTCACCATTTTCCCGCGCTTGGAACCAGTTGTATGATTTTTCGTGCTTAGCAAAGTTAAATGTTTTTCCGCTCTTGGCACTGGTTTCAAGCCATCCCGCACTTGGCGCTGGTTACATGCTTTCCCGCGCTTGGCACTGGTTACATGTTATACCGCGCTAAGCGCTGTTTTACATGTTTTCCAGCATTTGGCGCTAGTTACATGTTTTCCCGCGCTTGGCACCGGTTACATGTTTTCCCGCGCTTGGCACCGGTTACATGTTTTCCCGCGCTTGGCACTGGTTACATGTTTTCCCGTGCTTGGCACTAGTTACATGTTTTCCCGTGCTTGGCACTGGTTACAAATGTTCCCGCGCTTGGCATTGGCGTTTTCCCGCGCTTGGCGCTGGTTTCATTTCACGAAGACTTATCCAATAAGACTGCACGTTACAAAACTTTGTATAAAGGTAATACAGGAACTAGTTAAAGCTCACCGTTGTCTTTAACGACCTTTGTTTTAAAGGAAGAGGTATCCGCTGGTATACCATGAAAATCAACTTTAACATAAGGATCAATAATCTGCGAAGGAAAACTTAAAGTTGTCAGTTCTTATCACATATTTTTCTTCTCCTTTATCACAGACTGTTTCTCTCTGTTGAAGAACAAATTCATCTTCAAATCTTTTTCGTGTTGGATATTTTCTAAGGCGACAATGAACTGCGGAAGTATCAACTGTACTTGTTATACATTATAATGGCCGATAGTGAAGGATAGAAAGACATTTTCTAGTTCTAAACAGATCTATGAGCATAGGGTCCTCCCCTCCCCTATTTTGGGTAAAATAAGAAGAAATCAAAGAAGGAAGAAAAGCCGGCAGGGCAAGCAAAACAACCCCTCCCCCCTCCCCCCACTTAGCGCAAGGTCTGGATGCACCCAAATTGCATGAAAAACAAAAATGTTCACAATTCCCACATCTAAAGAAACTGCTATAATTCCAAAAATAGTTATATTCAAAGCTTACATAATCAATCAATCATACTCTTTCGACAGTCTCAATCCGAGTCAAATCTAAAACTTATTAAAAGAAAAAATTCTAAAAAAAAAAAAGCATCTAACCAGAAACTTCATTTACGAGTTTTGGAAATCACGCAAACAGCATTATTTTTTAATGTTTTCTCTCAAGTGTCGTTGCCCGAATCATTAGCGTTTTGCCCGAAAAATCACATAATTCCCGTAGATGGGGGGGAGCGCTGCAGTCCCCCTCGCCCTCCCCCCCCTCCAGCTCGTACGCCTATGAGGGCCGAAAACCTAACCCGAAACCTTAGATACAACTAGCTGAATTGAATAATCATGACTCACTGTCAGGCCATACCAACGTGGATGAGTTGAGTTCATGTCGCGATACTGCTTTTACACGACTGTACTTTAAACTAATGAGCACGACAGTTATCTTAAAAGTCCTTACAGTGCGACTACTCGAACCGGGCCACTTGAGAAAGAGTTACCAAATCAGAACGTTACTTGAGAACGAGGGGTAGCTATCTTTATAATTATGGAAATTCACCGTCAAGGACTGAATCTGTAGAGTGTATATAACACAGACGAGTCGATAGTATTTACGCATTCGTGTCAAACAAACCCTAACTGGCGTTCAAGAAAACGATTTGACAGCATTCCATTATTCTCAGTTTAAGTGCTGATTGGTTAGTTTTCTTCTGGATGGCCCAGTTTAAGTCTTCACACTGTAAACCCTGTCCAAATCTCAATCAAATTAAGGACCCATACGAAAAATACTGAAGTTGCAGCCAGGATTCATGTTAATACACAAAACTGGTTTGACTGGCATATATAATCCATTGTTACACATTCCATTCACAACCGATGAAGACCGAAGTTCTTCGATCGAAACGTCTTTTTAGTGTTTTTAACAAAACGTTTGTTTGACAGTTTTTAAGCCAGTGTCAAACCATTTTTGTGTATTAAGGATCCATATCTAATCTGTTTTAGACTGAAAACCCTCAGCGCTATGTTTCTAATTGCAATGCATTGCGGACATTGCAAAAATGCAACAATAGTACAACAGAGCTACTACTAGAGATCATATAATCATTGTTGTATCACTTATTCATTAAACCGTCTTTTTAACAAGTAAAGAAGCCTAAGCCGTGTATTACACTGTGATAAAACACGACGGGTATTTGAGAACACGAGGGAAATGTAGAAAACACGAGCCGCAGGCTCGTGTTTTCTACATTTTTCGAGTGCCTTATGATATAGAGGTAATGCGGCGAAAAACAATAAAACACGCTTTTTCTATGTTTTATACTGTGATAAAACATAGGTTTTTGACCAATCAGAATGCGTGCAGGGTCCTATCTATATTACAAAAGTTATTGATACATACCTCGCCTTTTTCACTCTGTGTAGGTTTTGGAAGTTGCTGACCAGAAATGACCTAACAAAACAGAAATGAAGATAAATTGATACAAAATTGCCTTTACATCAAAGGAAACCCATACAAATAGGAATCCGTAAATAGTTTTTCTCATGGTCATCATGGCTAGCGGTATTGCTTGTTGGATAAGAACAGAACATTAACTCGAATGAAAGCTTTATTTTATTATTTACCTTAATAGATAATGACACCTTTTCCACACCGGGGATTTCCGTCTTGGTATGAGGGTTAAACTTTAAGGAAGCTAAAAAGAAAAAAAAAAGAGAGAGAGGTTTTTTATACAAACTTTCGTACACTTAAACTTAAACCAACGTAATACACGCGGCCAATCACAACAAGCTCAAATAATGCATTGAGCAATTTAAAACTCGAAGCATGAACAAGCGACCGGTGCCAAACGGAAAGTTCCGAGCGTAGCCTTTTCAAGTAAAGAGAGATTTCCCGCGCTTGACAACCGTTACATGTTTCTCCGCGCTTGGCACCGGCTACGTGATTTTCCCCGCTTGACACCCATTAGTAAATTTTCTCGCGCTTGGCACTGGTTACATGTTTTCCCGCGCTTGGCACCGGTTGTATGTTTTCCCGCGCTTGGCATGAGTTGCATGTTTTCCCGTGCTAGGCACCGGTTGCATGGTTTCCCGCGCTTGGCACCAGTTACATGTTTTGCCGCGCTTGGCACCACATATACGTTTTCCCGCGCTTGTCACTGGTTGCGTGTCTTCCCGCTTTTTGAGGAGACATTTTTCTGCTAAGACACTGTTTCATACTGTACTTACGGTCTCGTAGGTGCTTTGGTTTCAAAATGTACCCCGCTCGTCCGTTTGTTCTGAACTTTCCTTGGTTCAAATGCATGGGTTCAGAATCCGTTTGGTAGTTGAGAGCAACTAGAACAAGAGAAACAGAAGATATCTGTTATAAAAAGCTACAAGATTTTTCTGTTCGCTGAAATACGTTTAGAAAAGGGTATCTGGCTGGTATCTAAAGAGGCAGGCACGATGTTTTCAAATATAAACATTTTATAATTTACCACTCGCTATCTTAAACCGAAAATCGACACTTCCTACTTGGTTCTTCAGATTCGACGAGTACGACACTACAAATAGTAACTACCATTGATAGGTTTTCTGTTTTGAGCCTCTCAAAGCCACGCAAAAGTAGAAATGAAAAGAAGAGCCCATAAGTGTTCACTCGTTATCTGGTAATGTCTTCGGAAATAGCTGATTGAAAAACAGTGGAGGGAACTTCATATAGTTATTGCATGGTAAGATGTTGAACAGACGCAACACAGAGGGGCCAGGTTGTTCAAAGCCCGATTAGAGCTAACCCAGGATTAGCGCGGAGAATTTGACTTCAGTTTTGTAACTTTTCGGTGAGGTTTTACTGTTTATAGTATACTGTTTTTCCTTCCGTTTTGAGTTTATATAATCTCAAAATACACAAAAACATTTTTTATACAAGAAAAATGGATACTTCGGTCAAATTTTAATCCTGGGCTAGCGTCAACCAGCTTTCGAACAACCCGGCCCTGGGGCCCGTTTCTCGAAAGCCCCGGAAATGTTTCAGACCGGCGAAGCCATTCTTAGTTAATCGGTTTCTAAAGATAAAGAAGTGTATACGCCTGAAACTTCTTGTACTGTTGTACTGTTCCTATCGAGAATATGTCCATAAAACAGCTCTGAAGTCATAAGGTTTGAGATTTTGCTACGGTATTTCGGGAACTTCGAGAAACTGGGCCCAGAAGATTAAAACCCCTTAATTATGTGGGAGTGACCCCTAGCTAGAGGTTTGCCCTAGAGTAGAGGGTAGCCCCCAAGGGTAGGGGAGAAGCCCCTGGGAGAAGGGGTACTGTATTTGTACCTATCTGACATCCTGCATTCCACGCCTGTTGAGGATTGTAGTTACTGGAGTCCACTCTCCCGCCGGCCGGGTAGATTCGGCTCAGCTGTCTTTTGTTGTATTCTACATACTCTGCTCCTTGTGTGTTCGCCAAGTTCATCATTTTGGATTCCACAAAGGACGACATCTCATGAAATTTGTCTGTTCGAAATCAAGCGGAGAATGAGTTCTAGATTTCTCAGTCTGAGTTCAACTAAAAGGAGGTACGTCACGGTTTGCACATCTTGAATAGTTTAGCCTAAATTTTTCAAGTTCGTCGTTTGTAATCCGTGTTTTATCTTCTCCATCCTTAACCATCCTTGTTCCTTTATGGTTTATTATTACCTCTTTGGTGTTTTTCTATCTTAGTAAACTACTATTTTTAGGTTTCCCTCAATTTAAAGGTAATTTTTTACGTGGTCGAACAACTCAAAATACTGTGACTGAGCTCCGAGAAAAGAATATAACAAGTTTGAAATTTCCCCCTCCCTTAAAATAATCGGCCGGAAAACCCATGTCGACTACGTACCATTAAAATTTTACCAGGCTTAAATTCGTTCTCGTTAAGCTTAGTAAGAAAATGTCTGACACCACACGCGAAAATTTCGCTACTTTTCGTAAGCAAAGTAACTTTCCTTAGCCGACCACCAAGAGATTGTTTTCCTGGGCTTGTCATCACTTCCATGTTTTTCCACCCTTAACTGGCAATGGGCTCGATTACCAGCCGCTGTTAATGAGCCCGCGTTTATCCCCCTCATCTAGGGGAGGCAAGCGGACCCGAGAGAGCGGCCGAAATCGAGCCTTAACTGCCAAGGGTCAGATATTTTCCCGCGCTTTCCACGAGTCACGAGTCTTGCGACTTCTGGCTGGTTCAGTTTTAATCAAAGTTGTCCAATACTTAGTTAATGGCTGTGACTAGTTAAGTATATTTTTTGAGTTACATCTGAAAACCGCTTATAGCATTCTAAGAATAAAAAATCAGTCACTTACAGTTTTGTTTTGCGTGTTCAAAGCCTTTGAACCCGACACTGGAGACGTAGTTCACACAGCGAGAGAGCTCTTTGGCCAGCTTTTGCTTCGTCTTTTTCTTTGTACCTTTTTCCTCCTGTCAAGTTTGCACAAAGATTAAAGTTATCACACCAGGTTATGTTTTGTGCAACTTGTGCCCCTATAAAATGCCAGCAAAAGCTAACAAAGGACTAGAGTTGCACGCCAGAAACAGGCCAGAAACAGGACAGAAACAGGACAGAAACAGGACAGAAACAGGACAGAAACAGGACAGAAACAGGACAGAAACAGGACAAAAACAGGGCAGAAATGGAACGGAAATGTACGGGTACCGGACAGGCCGGTAGGTACGGAAATGTTTTAGACTGATCATACATTTGTTCGGGTGCAAGTGCGAAGTATCTCACGAATATTTTTATTCTCTTCAAATGAATTGATTTCTTTGCAGACGAACAACAAGGTTTATTTTTTGGTGCTGTTTTCTTTTCTTTTTTTTTTGTTTTTTGCTTAGAGACAAAGTTTTATCACAGCTTTCATTCTGTGCAAAGCACTCTTAGTGTAAAAAACTTCGGCGCTGGCTTTTCTGTGCATCGATTGTGGAAAACATTTTGTTTTCTTTCTTTTTTTTTTAATCTTATCTTTGTGTGTCTTTCCTTTAACATGATCCCCGGGGGGATTTCGGTATAAAAAGGACGGGGGTGCTTGTCGGAAATTTTAAAAAGAACCCCTAAGAGGTACACAGATCTTGTTTTGTGGGCGTGGCTTAAAAATTTTTTTTCACCCCTAAGAGGTACCAATTCTTAATCAACACATTAAAGGACATTGAGTTTTTTGGGCTCAATACCTAAAAGCTACCGAAAAAGCTCCCACTGTGGTCCTTTTAAGGCTGAACACCCTAAGAGGTACCAAAAACGATTTTTCAACCCCTAGAAGGTAGGACCAGCACCCCCCGTCCTTTTTAAATGGGAGTCCCCCCGGGACATGACCATTGGCTTGCTCTTCATCTCGGGTATTTTTCTTGATCCGGCAGCTTTACAACAGTTTCGGAACAATTTCCAGTGAAGTGTTCAAATCATTCTTTGATTCAAACTTTCTGGCATTATCAGAAAATTACAGTTGAATTAAGGATCGGGAAACGCGAGCATTCCAAGACAGGCACCACTCGAACAACCCCACTGCGACGCACTGGTAACAAAATAGCTAAATTGAGAGGGAGTTCTCATAGGGACCCCGTCTCTTGACTCGACGGCAGAAACCTGAAAACTACTCACAAAACCTAAAAATGACTCCACTTGGAAGCTGACTTCTTTAGCATACTGGCAGGCACGGAAATAGATAGAGAGGGGACTATCTTCTTCAGAAGATTCAGAAATTGAAAGCTGCTACAGAAAATTGCGAGTTAGATTCAGAGTTTAGTCCCCCAAAAAGGTACATTTTAAGTTAAAAAATAGATCAGTTGTAGCAAAGAAATATTGCAATTGACGACTAAAGCTTATCATAACATTTTTACACTAGAGGGTAAACATTGACTTTTTAGTTTTATTCAGCTTCTTTCCCACGTACGTTTGCTAACTTGAAGTCCGGTTAACCATCGAGTCTTGATTATTCCACTATCTTTAATAAGTTACTAAGTTTTACTCACGGAAGTTTAGTGGCTCTCTGTTATTATCTTTAACTATAATTTTATAATTCATTATGTTGCTGATAGTTTAGTCACGTTTATATAGAGCGTTTTTCCAATGACATTTCAAATCAAAGGGTTGAGTGTGTTGTGGCACCATGCCTGGCTGAAAACGCACGTGTAACGCATTGTAAACTGTCTTAATCTGTCCATTCATTAACTCAGTGCTTGCAAAAACCGGCGCATTGTGATTCTATTTGCATCACGTGAATTTAAGCGCTCTTAATACCGCTTACATACAGGTTTTCCCGCGCTTAGCTTGGCGCTGGTTTTCATATTTCCCCGCGGTTGGCACTGGTTACCTGTTTTCCCGCGCTTAGCACTGAAAACATGTTTCCCGCGCTTGGCCCCGGTTACGCGTTTTCCTGCCCTTGACACCAGCAACAAGTTTATTCCTCGAGTTCTCATTGGTTGTTTAAACTATCGCTAAGTTAGTCATTGGAAAAAACGGCTCTAACTTGAAGTTATTAGCGTTTATCATCATTCTAGATTTTAAAGTTTACTTACATCTGTTTCTTCTTTAAATTTACCAGCGCTTCGCACCACTTTGCCAACTGCACGAAATGATCTACGAATGGTTTCCTGGTAAACACATGTAATAAAACACGATGAACCAGCTATTAAAAAATTAACTACAGTTATGAAATTTAAAGAAATCCGAGGGTATTTTATTATACAAAAGTTTAACAATTTAAGAATTTTTTCCTCCACAGATCTTCACGTAGGGAATAAAATCGTTTGAGCTTGAATTAAAAACCTCATTAGAAAACAGTTGCTGAAAAACAAATACCGTAATATGTGAAAATATACGTGGCATTTACTTTTGATGTACGACATGGCCAGAGACACACATATTGCAGAAAGTTTACTTTTTTATATATAACTAATTTTAGATGCAAAGCATTATCGGTTAACGGTTAGTATTAGAAGGTCTAGTATTTTCAGGGAACTGGCCATGCACTTTGAACAGAGTTGAGGTATTTAATATATTTATCTTGTTAACTATCTAATGAATACAACTTAGCGTATAAAGATTTTACGTTTAGAATTTATAGTAGCAACGTTAGTGTTATTGATTATTACTGAAAGTGTGGCTATACCAAGTTTCCTTGTTTGTCAANTCACAGTTAACGTTAATATCTACAACTTTGATCACAAGGGTTGGAAGACTTCATTCTATATGCATTTTGCCCCTCCCCACACTTGTGCAATGTTGATAAAATACTTCCACCTAACACACGTTCAGTACCATTTCCCAACATTGAAAGGGGGAATAGAGGGTGCTGGCAATCATTCTGTAGGTATTACCGTTTTTGTGCATTTTCTGACACAATTAGTCCATGGTTGTTAGAATTTTCATATGTTCATGTAACTACCTCATGTAACATGCAATAAAATATAGCTCCGCTAAAAAATATCAAGAAAGGCCCCTAGTTCGTCGAGGACGTTTTTAGGTAAAAAGTACTTTAAATCTTTGTAAGTGTGTTCCTATGACCTGTTGTCATTTCGAAGACACGTTTCAGGGCCAGGAAGCATGGTTTTATCGGTTTTCGAACAGTTTACAAACGTGTTACAAGATCGGTTATAACGTCAAGCATGGGATGGCACGCTGAAGTCAATGGCCAATTCCCTCTGAGATTCGCCCTGCAGGAAATTTTGGTAAATTTGTTCATCAAAACAAACATCTAGTCCAAGATGATGAATACAACTACCATGATTCCCTGCAGGCGCGTCTCATAGAGGTAATTGGCCATTCGCTAATTGAAGTTGTTTGGCGAGGGTAGGTTTTTCTTTGAGCGCACATGAAATTTAACAGCTCCCCGAGAACCTGTTGAAGCACTTAACATCAACACTCAATATTGATGTAATAAACAGTTATCCAAGACATACAGCTTTACGCGTAAGTGAACACTTAAGCATTAAGTAATAGTATACCTTGATAAGAATCCTGTTCTTAAAGAACTCCGGAGATGGAAATGTAGTGAATTCTGAATCCACCGGAACTTTGTACAGTACATCTGGTTATCCTAGTCAAGGAACAGTGTTCAATAAGACCTTGGGCGACTTTGAGTTGTGTTCGCTAATTTGCGAAACCTTAAAATGGCCCAAACTTAAGACAACAGGCTATTTCCGAGTTGAATTTTGCCTCTGTAAAAAAACTAGTCTTCTGTGCGAAACCGTTGATATGAAAATGTGTTCCACCTAGCTATAGGTTCATTTTCAAGCAAATCAAACTCATTTTCACGACAAAGGTTTTGCACGAAGACTCGTTTTGAAACAGAGGCACAAGGTAACTCGGAAATGTCCTATTAGACTTAACGAGTTACTAGTCCCTTCGTTCCTTCGTCCCTTCGTTCCTTCGTTCCTTCGCTCCTTCGCTCCTTCGCTCCTTCGCTCCTTCTCTCCTTCGTTCCTTCGTTTCTTCTTTCCTTCGTTCATGGTTTCCTCCCTCCCTTTGCTACTGAATACCTTTCTTGTAGTCTTAATGTTGACATATTTTTTGTTTTCACCATATTTTAGCAATGTTGCTTTCGCATTGAAAACAGTTTTGCAGGAAACCCTTAACTAGTACAAAGGATACCTCCCAGTATTTCCTCAAGTAATTGAGCCATTTTCTGTTGATTTGGAAGAGAGCAGTGGTTTTCAAGGGAAAGAATAACTGGATACCTGCCGAAAAAAAAAAGAAACAACACACCTTTCATTCTTAGAAATACTAAGGAATTCGATAGAACCTAACACTCCGCAAATTTACTATTTATGATAAATATATAAGCTCTTGGTTAACCCTTTTTTGCCAGTGCAAAATTCGGAGGCCACTATACTTCTGTTATGAACAAGCCTTCAAGCACTCGAAGATGGTCCTTTGGATATTCCGCCATCAAGAACTCGATAGCAGGGACACCGGCTAGCACTCCAAACGTTGTCACCTCCTGATTTCTGGGAACTTAGGCAACAAACACCCGTGGGAGGGGACTCCCGTGTAACAAGGACAGGGGTGCAGGTAGTAACTTTTAGGGGTTAAAAAAGCGGGTTTGTTATCTCTCAGGGTGTTCAGCCTAAAAAGGTCCACAGCGGTAGCTTTAATTTCGCGGTACCTTTTAGGCTATTGCGCCGAAAGAATTCAGTGCTAGATCATGTGTTGTTTGAGAACTGGAAACTCTTATGGGTGAAAAAAATCTCAAGCAACGCCCACAAAAACAGGATCTTGGTACCTCTTAGGGGTTTTGCTCAAAATTTCATAAGAGCGCTCCTGTCTTTTTTATATGAGAGTCCCCCCGGGAACAAACATCGCTGGCTCAATCTTTCAATCCTCGGAGACGAAGAAAATTTAATCAGTTTTTACTGAGTGAGTCTCTTCGAAAACTTAAAACGAAACACGCACTTACTCCGAAACTTCAAACGCATGTTTGTTTATAGCCTCGATGACATCCTTGAAGAAGATTTTAGACGTGAGCGTGTGACCATGATAAACAATTGGCTCTCCGGATTCCCCGTCCCAGCAGTCCAGTTCCACACAGCGGCATCCATTTTTCAGCGCGTTTATGTAAGCGTCTACACTAGAAGGACCGCGCAGCTGATCTTGTAAAAGATAAGTGTTATGCGATGAGGCGATGAAATAGTGCGTCATTGGATGGGACATATCTTGGTAAATTTCGTCGTGGGCAGGATTGAAGATGTCGCCTTCCGGTGATCTTAGGTAGCTCGTTAAACCTGTATATAGACGGTGAGAGAATTGTCTCTTAAAGGAGCTCAGTCACGGTATTTTTAGATATTTTGGCAACGTATAAAATTACCTTTATATTGAAGGAAACCTGAAAATAATAGTTTACCGAGATAGAAAAACACCAAAGAGATAATAATAAACCATAAAGGAACAAGGATGGTAAAGGATGGAGAAGATTGACATGAATTACAAACGACGAACTTGAAAAGATCCACAAACCGTGACGGAACTCCTTTGAAAACCTCTTCATCAAAAGCATGATTAATTTGCTTATGAAGCTGCTCGTTAACACAGTTTACGGAAAAGACGGGTTTCTGTGCGAATCTACGTATGACACCCGATTGTTTACCGATTTTATCGCCCAATGTACGGAAAAAAAAACACTAAACGAGCGTTCGGGGCATGCGAGACTTCACCTAGGCTCGATTACAAGCCGCTGCTCGGGAAAGAACGAAGACCGGACTTAAGAGAGTGGCTTTCAAAAATGTTCAAATGTTTTAAAAATGTTGTCGTTTATAGTGGTCAATGCGCTTAGCTACACCTAGTTCACAGGCATTTCGCTTAAACTGAAAAAAACAAAACAAACTATATCAGCCAAACATAATAGGCTTAAAAAAGCCTAACTGGCGGGAGGCAGCCAAATTGGCTATTTACAAACATGACAGAGGTGTTCAACTTGGGTCTACCGAGAAACAACTCCAGCTAAGTGGTCACAGCGGGACTTGAACCTGCGACCTCCGGATTTCAAGTCCGGCGCCCTAACCACTCGGTCACGATGCTTCCAAGGAAAATCGTGGAAATCGTGCCTAGATTTTACTACGGTTCCCGTTACAAGATCTGCGACATAGCTCACTGCTGGTTTATTCAATTTTGACAATTAAGACTCCGTATCATATATAGAATGGATATATACTGACCATCGATTCCCAATTCATGTCTCTTCTTCCCAGTTTCTGTTGGTTCGTGGGACAGAATCATTTCCAGGCAATACTCCTTGCTCACGCCATGCATCTGAGAAAAATATTAGCCTCACCAAATGCAAATTTATAACATAAGAAGACACTTGACAACCGTTTGTCCTCGATGAAGTTGTTTAAAATAGCTGAATGACGGACTGACTAGCTATTTGACGAGGAGACCAATAGATTGACAAACTCACTGACTGACTATTTCGTGGACCTATTGACTGATTGACTAAGCGATTGATCGATCGATTGATTGACTAACTGACTGACTGACTGACTGATTGATTGATTGATTGATTGATTGATTGATTGATTGATTGATTGTTTGGTTAATCGATCGATTGACTAATCATCTAACTAACGTACATACTAGCTAATATGTTGGAATGTTCGACTGTCAATTTCTGACGGACTGACTCGATCAATCAAGCAATCAATCAATTATCTAGTCAGTTAGCCAGTCAATATGTCAGTCAGTCACTCACTCAGGTCAGTCAGTCAATCAGTCAGTCAGTTAGTTAGTCAGTCAGTCAGTCAGTCAATTAATCAATCAATTATCCAGCCAGTTAATCAGGCAATCACTCAATTAGTCAGTCAGTTAGTTAGTCAGTCAGTCAGTCAGTCAGTCAGTTAGTCAATCAATCAATCAATCAATCAATCAATCAATCAATCACTAACTGATAACACGATTGTCTAACGCTGTCACAGACTCACCACACATTCAGGCCAGCTTACCTCTTGATCTGAGACCAAAAAGGATTGGAAATCTTCCGCTGTCATGTGCGCTCCGTTTGATGAATACTGCTTCATTAGGTTCACAATCTCCTTTCTTGTCGATATCGTTTTAAAGAACGCGGCAAACTCATCTTTATCCAGGGCCGCATCGCCATCCGTGTTCACCTCCTAAGCAATTCGCAAAAAGAACGTAAAACTTTTCAAGACAAGCTTTATTACTAGGGAGAGTTCTTCCTTAAATTTTTAATGGGCGAGTGCAGTGCATTTTGTGAACCTTTTACCCCATTTCAGATCAAAAAATGGGATTGTCCGTACCCTATTTCAAAACCTGGCGCAAAAATTGACACCAACTTTGAAACCTCTAAAATAAATACACCCGTCTAAATCATTGACAAGACTGGCTTCCGTTTACGTGAAAATTTAAGAATGGCTTCAAATTCTTCGATTTTAGTGGAGAAAAATACCTTCACCTGAACAACATACGCAATTTTAGTAAGTAGGCCAGACTGCACGCAAAACAAATCTTACCTCAGACCAAAACGGCTCGAGAACTACAGATACCCCGGGAATGTCTTCAATATTATTTTTCCTTCTAGTATGTAATAAATTACGTTTAAGCAGAGTTGCATTAATGAAAGATTGAAAATGTAAGTGTTGCAACGAGTCTTATACTAAGGTTGCATACACGTATAGAATTGAACTCAGAAGGGTACGAGATACGGGGGTGGGGCTACAGCCTCCCAACTACCGAAATTATGACATTTTTCGGGCAAAATTTGAGACTGCCGATAGAGCCCATTCAGTATGTAAGCTTTCAATGTAACTATTTTTGGAATGATAGCAGTTTAATTAGATGTGAGAACTGTGGACGTTTTTGTTTTTCATGCAATTGCAACTCGATTTCAACACTCACGCATTTGGGCATTGCGTATGTTTTCGGGCAAGGCCCCCATCCCCCCCCCCCCCCCCCCCCCCCCCCCCCC